ACTTAGCGCTAGTTAGACATAGAAATAGAGTTAGAATAGATGTTAATTGGAGAGAGGTACTTAATCCTATTGTCATCGTCTTGTAAAAGTATTTCTGAATAGGTTTTCCTGAAATAATTCACTGAACACTGAAGAAGTCTGTCTGACAGCACAGGGAGGTTTGCATAATTATGTAGATGTCGATATGGAAACTCTTAAAAGCTGAAGACATAGCACTAAAGTGTGAGAGTTTGGAAACTTGACAGGCCACTCATTAGGATTCCATAATGTACAGGACAAATACACCAATACGTTTCACAGTAAGAATTCAGGAACTTTAGGGCAAAGTAAAGGACTATTAAACCAAAAATCGAATTATTTTCATTATCATTAATAATTTTGCCCCCCCCCCAACGGCACAGCGGTATGTCTGCGGACTTACAACGCTAGAATCCGGGTTTCGATACCAGTGGTGGGCAGAGCACAGATAGCCCATTGTGTAGCTTTGTGCTTAATTACAAACAAACAATTAATAATTTTTGAAGTACAAATTATACTTCCAGTTCCAGTTCATTTTCCATGTCTTGCAATAATTCTAAATCAACTGTGATATATAACGTAAACATAAAATTACACCTACGTAGTTCCAAGCTGTTTTAAATTTTGAACATAAAGCATGGTTTTATCGAAATGTATATCTAGTACATGAGTATATGTAGACTCGCAACCTGCTGTCTAACAGCTATATATTACTAGTGTGAAATCAGTATCATCAGCGATACATGCGAGACTTGAATGCGTAATTTAATATACACGTACCTGGCATACGACACTACGATCCATTGTTTGCTCTGCAAGCTCGCAACCTAATAATTAAATTTTGTTTGTGTTTATGCACAAAATGTGTCACCAATAATATTTCCACAAGTTGCACCATTACGGTGTAAGAGTCATGATGTTTTTTAGTTGTGTTTGAATTTGTTCTACCACCAGGGGGCTGTAAAGTTATCTGAAAATTTATGAATGTTTGTTTGTTTGTTTGAAGTTAAGCACAAAGCTACAAAATGGGCTATCTGTGCTCTGCCCACCACGGATATCGAAACCCAGATTCTAGCGTTGTAAGTCCACAGACATACCGCTGTGCTAGTGGGGGTCAAATAATTAAATAATGTCGGTATGTAAGCATTAACCCTTCCCATCTGGGTCCAGCTCTTTTGTGAATGTCGCGACTTTTTACAGGGTTATATTCAAAGTTTAATTAAGCAGTTTTATCATGAAAGTATGCCAATAAACTTGACATCAAAATGTGGTTTACAATCCAGTTTTTTTATTATCTGAGTTTCAATTTCTTAAATTAAAAAAAAAAAGAAATGTTAAAAAATTCTCAATTCTAATTTGTCTGTGTCACGTGACACATCCGAGCTTCTAATTTTGAACAGCAGTATTTTCTGACTTTGATAATAGGTTTCTTTAGTTTCCAAACTATACATAACAAACTGAGGTACACGTCATTTGTTCGGGTTATGAACTTACAAAAATGGTGGTGGATGCTCTGATAAATAACGCAAAAATCATAACTTTCAAACAATCTATTTATAACATAACATATTATTACAGTATTCATTATTAACTCATCAAAAGCTTTATATAAACTTTAAGAACTCAATATGTATACAAAACGTGATAAACTATGCGATATGGTTAGGGTAACTTTGTACGAAGAGGTAGCTGAAAAGTAGTGGCGGTAGGGGGGGGGTGCTTCCTGTTACCCCGCTTTAAACACCCACCTCTTAATGTCCTTCCACACTGTTTCATGTTATTAATTAATTGATGGATAGTCATTGGCCGCAGAAGTGTTTTACGGAATGAAGTTGTAAGGTC